TTTTTTTTTATATAGTGGAGGATGAGCGATTTCAATCCAATTCTTTGAATAAAAAAATTAATCACCGAATAAAATATTCAGATATGATTATTTTTAAGAGATAATGTCACAAATAATTTTCAGATTGTAGTAAAATATTCATATATGATTATTTTTTAAGAGATAATGTCACAAATAATTTTCAGATTGTAGTAAAATAATCAAATATGATATATAATTTTAAATTTATTAACTAATGTGATACTTAAAAAATTATTTATCAGTCATGTGTCGTCATTTGAAACTAACTATATTAAGAGTAAGATTATATTAGTTAACAAATTTATAATTCAAATATCATATTAAATATTTTTATATTCAAATATCACATTAAATATTTCATTATAATTTATAATTTAGATATCATTCACAACATTAATTTTTTTTAATAATATGAGATGATCTTTTTTCATACATTTTAAAAAAAAATCAATTATATTATGGATACGTTGATCTTGCCTATTGGTTCAAATAATAACTTATATTTGGGTTGAAAAACTAAAAAGATATATGATATAGACTCATCATTTAAAATATTTATTAGAAAGATGCCATGCGTTGCTGCTGGTCAAAAAATATTTTTTTGTCATATCTATTTGTCATTTTTTTATAAAATTTATCTAATTAAATAAAACAAGATGAAAGATAAAAGATAAAAAAATGGAATGACACAAATATTTTGACCTTTTTTTCTCATAAATTTATCTAATAAAAAAGAAAAATAAAAAAATGAGAAAAGTGGAAAGGGAAAAACAAAAAAAAAATTTTGAAAAAATGAAAAAAATAAAAAAAAAGCTCTTAAATGTGTAACATTGATACCCTATTGAATTTAAAATATTAATTAATTAAATTAAGGTAAAAAAATTAATAACTTTACTAATATAATATATATTTATGTATAAAATAAATAAATAATAAAATATATACTTTTATATATATATATATATATATCTCGAAACAAATCCATAAAAAGTACTATAACACATTTTCGACCCGATCTCGTTTCTTTTAAAAAAATTCGACCCATCTCAACTCAACTCCAATTTAAAAAAAAAGAATCATTATGGAATCGAGATGTAATCAAACTCGTTAGATACGAATTGTTTTGTCATCTTTTATTAATTGATATTTCGTTGCAAATTTTGTTTAATTAAAAAAATACAAAATAAAGAAAAAGGAAAAAAGGTCAAACGAGATGCGACACAAATAACTCCATGGGTATTTTTTTTTGTAAAATTACTTTAATAAAAAAAATAAAAAAAAAAAAAAAAAGGAAAAGGGAGAAAACAAAAAATAAAAAAAAAAAAAGAAAAAAAAAGCTCTTTAAAGCATTATGTGAACATCACAAATTGAGTGGAAACCATCAAATTATTTTGTCATTCTTATCCATTAACTTTTTTTGTTGTAAGATTTATCTAATTAATAATAACAAAAAAGATGAAAAGAAATAAAGTAAATTGAGGTGTCATGCGGACACTTGCATTGATTTTTTTCACAAAAAAAAAAAAAAAAAAAAACAAAACCACAAAAGGTTTTATAAAGAAAAAAAGCAAAAAAAAAAAAAAAAAAAAAAAACATAAGGTGAAACATCAAGACTTTTAATTTATCTAATTAAAAAAAAAACCAAGCAAAGTGAAAGGAAAAAAAGTCAAATGTGGTGCAACGTGGATATCTTCATTGATTTTTTTTTCACAAAATTGCTTTGATTAAAAAGACATGAAAACAAAAAAAAAAAAAAAAAAGAAAAAAAGCTCTTTTAAGGTATTACATGAAAATCTCAAATTGAGTGGTACCTACCGAATTATTTTGTTATTCTTATCTATTGACTTCTTTTGTTACAAAATTTATTTAATTAATAATAATTAAAAAAAAAAAGAGATGAAAGGAAATAAAGCAAATTGAGGCGTCCACTAAATTGATTTTTTTTCACAAAATTTATGAAAATTAAAAACAAACAAAAATTTAAGAATAAGTAGAAAAAAGCAAAAAAACAAAAAAAAAAGGATGAAATGTCGAGATCTTGAATGAGTATCAAACAAAAGTCAAAATAAGTAAAATTTATGAAATAAATGGATAAATGGATTACATCTTAATTATATATAAATATCATATTTTTATTAAATTAAAACATTAAATAATAATTTTATTAATATAATACATATATAATATAAAATTAAATAAATAATTTAAAAATATAATTTAATATATATATAATCAAAATATGATGGAACATCATAAACCCACCTCCAACTTGACCTTAATTTTCAGGAATACCTCAATTCAATCCCAAATTGAAAAATGCATCTGTTGGATCAGAATGGATTGAAACCCACAAATACAAATTGTTTTATTATTCATACCTTCTTTGATATTTTTCATAAAAAAATTATTTACTGATTGTTTTTATTGTAAATTATCTTATTAAAAAATTAAAAAGGCCAAAAAAAAAAGAAATAGGGTGTCACATAGTACACAGCCTTTTTTTTTTTTCAAAAACTTTATCTAATTAAAAAACAAAAATATGAACGGAAGAAAAAATTAAAAAAAAAAAGTGAAAAGAAAAGACAAAAGCAAAAAAAAAAAAAAGGAAAAAAAAATCAAGTTACCATATAATATTAGTGTTGATAAGCTTTCTTTACAAATTTATATAATGGATTATGTATTTTTATTTTAATTTACTTTTTTCTATATTTAATAAATATTTTGTTACAATTTTTTTGTGTGGGATCAATTTGATATTATTGATTAAAATATGCTTTTCTAATATTCTTTTCTTATACTCTAAAACTAAAAAAAAAAAATGAAATATTCAAAAAAAATGAAATTTGTATGCCATGTCAACACCTATGTTAACATTTTTTTACAAAGTTATCTAATTACAAAATTTTATGAAAAAAGGAGAAAATATTTTTAATCAATAATATAAAATTGACCCCACACAAAATATTAAAAAATATAAAAAATTTTGTTTATTAAATATAAAGAAAGGAAAAAAAGAAGAGAAGAAAAAATGGTTGAAAAAAAGATGAAATGCAAAAAAAAAAAAAAAAGGTTGAGTTGACACACAACATGAATTATGATAAATTTTTAAAAATTTTATATCATCAATTTTAAAAAAATTTTAAGAAAGACAGAAAAAAGGACCTAAAAAAAATCAAATCTGGATATAAAGTCCATACATTCATTAATATCTATTTCAAAAATAAATCAAATTAAAAAAAAAAAAACAAAGTAACAAAAAATATATATTTTTAATAATAACATCAAAAGGATCAAACTTTTAAAACTTTTAAAAATATTTCAAAGTATTTATTAAATTTAGAAAAAAAGAAAGAAAAGAAAATGTAAAGAAAAAAAAGAAATCAAATAATTTGACATATGACATATTCTTGATATTAAGTAAATTCCAAAAAATTGAAATCTAAAAAATTATTAATTAAATATATAAAAAAGAAAATGAAAATAGAAAAAGTTGAAAACTGAAAAAATAAACACAGGACGATACATTGGTGTTAAGTGGGTCTAACATAAAAAATTAAAATTTAAAAAATATTTATTAAGTTTTTTAAAAGAAGGAAAAAAAGAAAAATTCATATCAAATGAGCCTCACTAAATATAAAATTTTTTTGTTAAACGTAAAAAGATAAAATGAGAGAAAAAGACACTTGGCACCCAAGCAAAAAAAAAAAGCTTAGAAAAAGAAAAAAAAATGAAAAAGAAATGGAAAGAGTATCTTATGAACACTCAAAATGAGCCTAATCATCTTAAATTCATCTCAAATCCAATCTCATTTAATTTTTTTTTTATTCGATCTTAATTCTTTAAATAAAAAAATGCACTTAGAGATGATTTCAATGCCAATGTACTCCATGTAAAGCTTGGCTTAGTATGAACTATTATGCCAAACGCATGTATACAACATTTGGTTAACATCGCTGAGGCGCGGTAGCCTCTAGTTATCCACAGGAGATGAACACCCCAATTACAATTGTTACATTCCTACAACTATTTCTATTTTAATTTTGCCTATTATTTTTGTTATAGAGATTTCCATAATCTTTCATTAATTTTATTTTTTTCCTTTTTATTTTTTATTTAAAAATTTAAAAATGATTTTATTAATTTAATATAATAAATAAATTTTATTATAATATTAAAATATATATAAATAACTTATTAATACACTTGTAAGATACAATCAATTTTTATTCTCGTCTCACCACTATCCTTATTTTATTATTCAAATATATATTTTATCATTAATTTTAATTTTATTATTATAATAATTAATTTTATTATTATCAATATTTTATTAATCGGCATCTAAATAGACCCGATGTGCTGGCACCATACCCCTACTCACTTTTGCCCATCCAGAACCAGGCATCATCTTCACATTAAAGCCTCTGACAAAAACCCAGGGAAGACGGTGGGCCTCAAACATAAATGATAAACAAGCTCCCCTCAAAATCCATCATATCCTCAAAAAGAGGCTAATAGCCCTTTGGCTACCCATAGGGATAGGTAGCCTAACCTTCTCTTTTTTTAATACATTTCAATTAATAAATAGTATTGCTAGATGACTGATGACTTACCCACAGCGGAAATGCAAGGGGTTTTGTCATAAATCCTACAACAGCAATATCTCATGACATTAATCTAATAGATATGAAATGTCTGCGCTGTAAAGTAAGCCATGGAAAATAATTAATATGCACTTCCGATAGGTATTCATAACCCTGGAACCATCAATCATTCAATGACCAAAATTTCACATAAATCTTACAAGTGTACCCTGCATGACAGACGGCGAATGAGAGATGAGTGCCTACAGGCTAATGAGAGACGAGTGCTTACCAGGCGTTAAGTTCGGAGAGTATGCATTCCGGCTACCTATCAGTCAGTCACGGAAGATTTAGATGTACATTATGTTGCATTCACAACAAGTTCAACAATCAGGATTGAAACTAGTTTAGACTGCACTTTTTTGCTTAACTTTCAGTATTACCAGATTCAAATTCAATATAATAGCAACAAAATCCCATCATTTAAATTGTGACAGCAACAATACACTGATTTATACCATTCAAAGAGAAAAACAACGGCATTTTGCATGGTCTCTTCTTGTTCCAGCAGCAACCAGTACTGCCTGCTGAGAATTGCAATTAGAAACTCCCAACAGTAACCTATATATTGTTTTGTAGGTGTCCAGCAATCTTTATTGTCCTTCATTTGATGCTTGCTTTAGGAATGGAAGATGTGCATGAACCAGCTGAGGTCATAAAAGGAATACCCTTAAATGTGGCCACACCCTTCTCATCAGTGAAAAGATGCTGCAGCACAGATAAACCCCTGGTCATATTTGCATAACACAAAGCAACATATTCCAGCCTAAATAAAAACCCTAACGCTGCATTTTGTGGGAAGGAGGAAAGGAGAAAGGAAGGAAAAGGTTTTAATTTAATGGTTGAGCTACAACATAGCACATATCATTATGAATCTCAACCATTAAATTAAAAAAAAAAATCTTCATCCTTCTCCATTTCTATCCTCCCTACCAAAAAAGCATAAAAGTGGTGATAGAAACCAGATTCATAGGATCCAATCCCCAAATTCAGGAAGTGCAATAATGAAGAACATGGAATAGACATAAAAATAGTTAAAATTATTAGCCATTTCCACAACCCACGAGAAATCATCACTAAGAATCCACAAACCAGAAAATGAAAAACATACCGGTGTTATTTTCTCCAACTGCTTCTTCTTTGGATTTAGGACTTCTTCTGGCTTTCCATCAATCCTGTATGAAAGAATAACAATTTTTTGCATGTGAGATACAAATAATTCCAGGAAAAAACTTCATCTCAAACTAACAAAAACCTATCTCAAAGCTAAAATAACTGTAAAAAGGATATGAGGAAAATGCAAGACACAAGCAATTATAATGAACAGAACCATCTGCAGGTCTCATTTTAGAAATTCTTAGTTCATTTTCATGGATGGATGCTCGTTATTTCACTGAAAACAAACGGCACATTGAGTTTCATTTAACTCTCAAGCTTAGCATTTGTGTAGCTCTTGTTAACAGACTAATCATGCTGCAATTTTGAATTTGATAAACTTGAAAAGGGAGAGGCTAGGAACTATTCCATAAGAAAAACATCTAAAAAGCTTCACTTCTACCCATGGAAAAGGGAAATATTCTACGCGCTATTTCTTTTTTTAAAAGAAAAAGGTAAATGATTGCCAGCAAAATTTCATCTCATTGATCGTTCATTATCTTGCAATAAAACTTGAAACTCATCCACTATCAGAAAAAGAAAAGAATAGAGCCTTTTCAAGCTACCATTATGCCAGCCTCAAAAAACATAGCAAACTTGCAAAATCCTTTTAGTCCAATTTGCTATGAACTTACGAGTCAATTTCTACAGCAACATGCAAGTATATATTTTACACTTAAAAGTTAAAGTACCATATAATTTTTCTTTTCAAAAAAAAGTAAAGTCCCCTAAATTTTTATCTTAACTAAACTTTGAGCAATAGAATTATCATATAAGCCGAAGGACAGAGTAAAGAGAGAGTTAGAAAAGGAAGCAGAGAACAGAGAGAAGGTAGAGATAAAGAGCAGAGAGTTTCTCATCGTAATTTCAAATAGTCTACATCTGCAAATCACAATGCTAAGTATTCATAGCCGTAGTGCCACACAACTATGTAAACTCCTATACAAACCCTAATTATTTTATACATGCCTACAATAAGTGCTCCTAAAACCCCTTGAGGATAATCCTCCTTCAATATGCTTCAAATTTGTAGTGACCATTTTCTCTTTAAGCACAATAAACCCCTAGGTAAGGCTAGATTAAGAGTTAACAGCTTACATCGACAAGTCACTAGACCATTGCTCAACTAAACAATTTATTTGGTATATTTATTGTAGGCCTAGATTTACGGTAGGCTTTAATTTATGAGTAGGGTTATTCATTTTTGGAACTTTTATTTTAAGCATAGAAAATACAATAGATGAGTAGTGGTGAGCAACGCATTTTCCTTACAATTATCACTAAGGTTAAAATGGTGTAATTATCCTTATTATTGTGGTTTTTAGACTTTATACCTAATCATCGGAATTGGATTTAAGAATCTCTTTCTACTTGCTTGGTGGTTTTTCTCTCGATTACATCTATATTCTCTTTCTTCACTTTTTTTTTCTCTGTTTTCTCCTTCTCTCTCTACTCCGTTCCCCTTCATGCAGTTGCAACAAAACCCACTAATGCTAATTTTCTCCAAGTTTCTCCAAAGCCGTCCTTCATTAGAGAACCCTCACCAAGTAAATATAAACAACTTTCGCTACTTCGTCTGTTAGCCTTCCAACTCCTTCAAGCATATGGCAACTACTTGCTCTTTATGTCATAATGTCATAACATGCACCTGAGATGCTGCATTCAATGCTCATCAACTAGGCCTAACAGAGACCTGATTGCCTGACCAATAGCAGAACAAGGACTGACCAAAAACTCAGCTCATCCAAAAAGGTCTATTAATTGCAATCAATAACTTTCATCTAATCTCACACAAAAGCAAGGCTCTGTGATGTTTGTGCAATAATATTTGTATTTCTACAAAACTGACAATATGCTTACCCCGAAAATGAAATGCGCTCGCCAGGTTTAGCCACTGCTGGGGGAAATAAAGGCTCTACAATGGTGTGATCTTCATTAGAAGCACAAAGCACCTGCAAAGGGGGAGATTACAAAAAGTGAAAACGAATCATCATGGGTTCAAATATGTAAGCAGTAGTTAAGCACACAACCTAGCTCTAGTTTCAGAAATTGCAAACTGCCCATTTTTCTGCTAAAAGAAAAATATAAATATTATCTATAAATTTATGCGTTTTTAGTTTATCTTGAGACAATATTAAGCTCACTTAAGAATTTAATGGACCAATTTTAAGGGAATTGTTTCAGAGAAAAGTAAACAGAAATCAAGGAATCACATCAAGTTTATACTTAGGGTTTGGTACCAAGTAGAATATATGTTAGAGGTATAAAGAATTAAGTAAGCAAGTACGCAAAATAAATATGCACAGAGAAATACAAATCCTACAGCTAATAAAACAAAAGTTGTGGATTTTTTTCCAGGTATCTCATGACATTGACACAATCAAAGGAGGTATTTGTTCCATGACCGCACAAAAGCGCATGCACATGTTTCTTTCTTTCACTTTTGCTTTCTTTTTCCCTTCTTCCTTTTGCCTCTGGCAATGGGGGACGTCCAGGGGCCTCATCTGTTTTTTAAGAGATTCTTTATCCCGGGGATTGACACTCAGATTACAGCCCATCATTAGAATGCATATGCCTATATCCAATGGACACCATAATTATCATTCAAGGAGAAAAGAAAACGGCTAAACAACTGCATTTTCTGCAATAAGCATCGAATTGAGACTGCAGAAGAAGTCAAAATCATGGGAAGAAGCATGATGCATTTACTGAAAGCATCATAATTAATTTAGCAAGGCACCTCCTCACTCAGTTTCTAACATTACGCTACCCCAGGCCATGAAAGCATATTACAACGCATAAATGTTAAACTCATTAGCTCCAATTACTACACTAAAGCTTCATAAAAGGTAAGAAAAATCCATATTTGACAAAAACAAGTGTTTAATTAAAGAAGATAACATGTTGATTAAATGCCAAAAAATTTACCAGTCCCTCTGACATCACATCTCGTAGCTTTCCTGGTTTCACATTTGTAATCAGCACAACAGGACGATTCTTCATGGCACAAGCAAAAACCATGGAGAACATCAAAATGTATGCTTCAGAATTTAATAAACCAAAGAATATGAAGATAAAAGCTAAAAATCAAATAAATTAAAATCTGCATAACAGCTAACTCAAAAAAAATACCACTAACTCTTCTGGACTGCAATACTTGGCCAATCCACTAACCACTTGTCGCAATTTGGCCTCTCCAACATCTATCTCCTCGACCAGTAAACTGCATTTTTAATAAACCAGAACATCATTCCACCAATTTTGCATCTAGACAGCCATAGAGAAAATTAGATAACTCAAACATAAAGATACTGAGGCCTTTGAAAGTAAAGAACTAGACAAGTTTGTCAACATACCTATCAGCAGATGGATGTTTCCACGCTTTGCGAATAAGACCAACCTGTATATTCAGTAAACTGACACTGAGTTCTTTGTCTTTGTCAGTTGCTTCTGTTTCAGGTGCTTTCTTCTTCTCTTGAACAGCTTCCTTATCTCCCTTAGACTTTTTCTTGAATTTCCAAACAGCAAAAAGGTGATTGTTAATGAATTTACCAGCATGAGAATCTAGAAGAAGTCTTGGCACTGGTCATAATTAGAGCATATGGAAAAGAAGCCACCCCCAAAAAAAGCACCATTCATCTATCATCTGTAACTTTCCCACATCTAAATGTCTTATGAAACTAGCACTTCCTCCTATTTCTATAGGACATTTGATAATCATTTAATCATAAAAAGGCTACAAAAATATTCTCATACAATTGTCTTATTGCACAAAAACTTAATCACTAAACATAACCACCAGTCATCATGAGTGTTATTTAAGCAAGAAATAACTCAAATAAGGTCTCTCAAGCACTAAGTTTAGAGAAATTACTCTTGAGGATAACAACAAGAAATATATTACAATAGAGAAGAATGGAGAACATGGTACCCCGGAATCACTTTTCTTTGCATTTAGTTCTGCTTCTGACTTGTCCGTGGTTTCTGTGTTTTGAACGGTCTTTTTAGCATTTGAATCTACTTCTGGCTTAGCTGCAGCTTTTACTCTCTGCAACCAGATATAGAAACAAAAATAAAAAAATTCACATGCTATCCTGATTGTACACGCAACTAACAACCTTCTGTACCAAAAAAAGTGGGGTTTGAGGGGTTGGGAAGATAGAGGCAGGTGAGGGAGGCCAGAGGTGAAGAGGTCAAGACTCAAGACTCCTCTATTGAACAAAGAAAACATTACATTCAAAGATCATCAATACAAAGAAAACAATTTAAAGATCACTTACCTGAGGCTCAAAATCAGGCTTCTCCAGCAATATTTTTTCAAAAAGTGCACCGAGATCCTCCCTGTTCTGCAAGAATAATTTAAAAAGGTTTGTTGGCAAAGGCAACAAAGGTATTCACTCATAACAAAATTCATAAAGGGACCACAAGTTAGGAACACCCCTCTCAGGCCCTAAATATCAGCTCAGAGAACCCGGTATGTGTTTAGATAAATTTTTTTAAAAGGTAAAAACAATAATTAATAACTTTTAACCAAGAGATTGAAAAAGTCATTGTCAAGGCAATAGCCAAACAATAGACACACCCTAACACCAAAAAGGAAATCTAAAGTTTCAATCCCCACTCCCCAACTTGATTATCAAATAGGCCACTAAAAATCAAAGTATAAAAGGAAGATATGAATACATGATAAAAACGTAGCTCAGAGTGGAGTGTAAACATGGCATCTAGATAATATCCTCAAATTATACTCAGAGGCTAGGCAAAATATTGATGATGAAATCTTAAAACTTAAGCTAAACTACAGGATAGATGAAGCCTAAGGTTATTCCATGCGATACCAAGCTCTGTTCAATTTATAAATCCAGATTCCAGATTCATGTATTGCAAACAGCTTTTTATATTTTCTCCACAAAAAATAATACACTACTTCACAAAAGCTATCAAATGCTAGAGAACAAAATAATACCCAGAAACTTGTGAGAAGAATCTATTACATGGCCAAGCATTCACTGCTTTCTTCCCATTTTCTAGCGTATAACTGAGATATTCTGACAAGAGGGGACTTAGATCTCTAGTTACTAGTCATGGACACATGCAGACCATGAGTTTGACATCTGATAACTTAGACCTCATTACAAGAATTTCATCTAGTCTCTTTAATTCCACAGTATGAATGATCTTTTTTTTTTCTTTCTGAATTATGAGATAAATGCAAGTTTATAACTCTTCTAGGACCACGTGTTGGTGAGTTTGCAGTTGCAGTTGGAAAGCAGCCAAAGAAGAACCATTATAGTGTCAAGCATACAGTGAATTCCTAACTGAAGAAAAAAGACCTCCTGATAGCTTTATTCATTCATGTTATATACAAAATATTTTGGTTAATCTTATCTTCAGCATGCTGCAGACAGAACATAAACAGCAGATCCACACGTGTTCAACAGAGCCATAAACTTAACATTTTGGGTGAAAGATTCATTCTTTTTTTATCTAAACAAAGCTATTGTAACTATAAATACTTTACTTTCTCAAAATTCATTGAAAAGCCCCCCAACAAATAAAATTCAAAACAACAGAAAATGTCTCCACCTGGATATAATCCATCCATCGCATCACATGTGGTAATTTATCCTTCTCTGAATTTGAAAGGCCAATCTGACAACCAACAAGTATATCAAGCAATTATGCTTTCAACTTCTTAATCAAGTATAATAGCAATTTGGCACCATGATCTCCTCTCTTAGAAATACACCAAAAGTTTGAAATATATATACATAAGAAATACATACCACTGAACTATGTACTGCTGAAAAAACAATAACATCAGCTTCTGAGGGCGTAAATCCATTACCAAGAAGTACAGACTTTTGAGGCAAGTCAGCATTTAATGTATTTAAAACATCATAGCATGCCTTAGAATCTTTAGGAAAGCTCTCTGCAAAAGCTACCCAATTCATCACCTGTAATCAAAATTTGATTTTCAGATTAAGGACCACAAGTAAACTCTTTAGGAAGAGAAAAGTGCAGCCAAGAAAAAACACTAGAGATAAAAACTCCAACTGATGTAAGTCAACTTAATGCTATCAATATGCTTTTATGGCAAGTGGGCAAATCATTTCACAAGAGATTCATACAGGTAGTTACTTCTCAATGACCCTAGCTTCTACTCCAGTAGCACTGCTCTTGGTGCTAAGTTACATAAAGATGAATGCTTTCGTGCAAAACGCTTATTACACATTACCTCATCATTGTTTTTGAGTGATTCCTTCCCTGATGACTTCAAAATGTTTAAATACAGGGTCTTAATATCATTTCTCGGGACTTCACCTGAAAAAGCCTCCTGCAAAATCAAATAGCAACTTATATAGCCAGCAAAATTGCCACATAATTAACATGGTAGATCAATAAAGCAAAAATAATCGCAAATGTAAGAAAAAATTTGCAAAATTGCATGGTTATTTACAAATTCAAATGCATAAAGCATATTTTCCTTCTTCTACATTTAATACAAGCTCAATGAATAAGTATGGAAGAAAATTATAGGTGGCAAAAAAAGTCCATTGACAACTGCCCAAGAAGCACTCAACAACCAAAAGCAAACAAAAGAAAAAGAATAGCTGAATTCAAGTAAAACCCATCACATAAAAGAAGTAAATCACAATAAAAACAACTTCTGTAGTAAAAATGAAAGAGATTTTCCTAAAACCACAAAGTTATACAGATAAAATAATGACATGCACACAGTACAGTAGAAGAAAATTAGAAAATGGGTGGTGTTTATTTTACTCACAGGATCCAAAGAGAAGTGTTTGCAAAGAGATGATACTATTCCTTGCTTCCTTCTGAGATCACTGTTCCCATTGGTTGCCATGTCTGGTTTCTCTTTTCTTTTCTTTTCTTTTTTTTTTCTTTTGTTTTAAGAGTTTAGACCGACAAACAGACAGGTTTTAAGGGTTTTTGTGGTTTGATGAGCTTCAGGATTCAGCTCATTGAAGCTTAACAAAGGAATTGGGCTCAGCCTGATACACTGGGCCTTTACTATATGGCTCTCATTCAATCCTAAATGCGCATTCCAAACTTAGCCCGACTACATGGTTTACAAGATTTTTTTTCTTTTAAGAAAAAATTCGAATTTGTCACTTTTGCGTGTAACGATTGACTAAATTTATCATGTACTTTTTAAACAGTATAATTTTAAAATATTTTTCCGTCTCATTTTTTTAGTTATTTTTTTAATATTTTAAAATTTAAAATTTAAAATTGATTTTTATATTTTTTTTACTATTCAATATTAATTCAAGAAATTTTAATTTTATAAAAAAATAATTTAAAATTTTAAATATATTAAAATTAAAATTTTTTAAATTTCATAAAAATAAATAACAGTCAAATAATTTAAAATGAAAATAATACTTTTTAAATTTATCAAAATTTTTTATCAAAAGAGAATCAAGACATCTAGAATATAATACATTAATTCCACCTCATTATCACATCACAAAATTTAAACCTAAGAGAGTTCAAGACGTTTACAATTAATATAATATAATTACAGTTCAATTTATTGAGAAGTCACTATGAGATTTAATACTTTTATTTTTATAATAATATGAGATGATATATATATTTTTAACACAATGTTTCGATTTTTTACTTGATTTATTTTCTTTTTTACAATATGATGTATTGAAAAATTTAATCCGACGTGACGTTGAGAAAAATAACAATCAAGTAATAATAAAAGAAATGAAAATTTCAAAGGGTTTTTGCGTTTTTGGACCAAAAATATTCCCGCCGACTGAAAAAACAGTGTGGACGTGGATTGACCAGCGCTAATGTAAAGAAATAGAAAACGAAAGGTAGAAAACGAAACATGTAGGGGAGGTGTGTCGTTTTGCTGTCTGTCTTTATTTTATCTGGGGATAACCAAATTAAAAATTAAATTAAATTAAATTAGTCCAGATCTTATCTTGGGTTTCTCACTTTTTTAAACTTGAAAAAAGAAGGAAAAAAAAAAAAAACCCTACTTAGGGTGAGAATTTCACTTACATCACATCACATGAAATTCACTTTCACTCTGTCAGTGAGTTGACTGTTGTCAGTCTCCCTCTCTCCACGTTTTTTATGGTTTTTTTTATAACATCACTGGAATTAATATATAAATTATTTGATCTCCCTTCTTTTATTTTTTTTTTTAAATTTAACAGATAAAAACAAAGAATGAAAAGAAAAGAAAACCCATTTTTAGGAGGTTATGGTTTTGCAGCAAAGCAACCCAAAGGGTGTGAGTGATCGCTTTGGTTGCTGCCACGACAAGGACAGGTCAACAAACAATTCAATTCTGTAGATTGAAATGCGTAACAATATTGCAGAAGCAGAAGAGCAGATTCCCTTTGCTTTGCAGAAATTCCAATCTTATTCAACCACATATCTGGAAGTTTTAAGTTATAAATGTTTCAAGGTAAAATTAAGAGTAGAGAAATGGATAAAGCCGCATCCATCCCCTCACTGCCTGCCTCAATGGCAATAGCTCAATCAGGCTCACGGGGCCCAAAGCTCAATTTCTCTAATAATCTAACGCCTTTGAACCATTGAACCATCGAACCATTTTGCTTTCACCCTTTTTCTCTTGTCATGCATCCAACCTTCTATTTTTTCACAAAAAAGTATCTAATTAGGAAAAGATGTAATCGATAATGACATTTAAAAGCAATCGGTTGTCGTAATTAAATATTTTTTAATCTTCATTAAAATAGTTGATTACACTAAAGAACAATCCCGTCTAAAGGTATAGGTGGTGACTCGTTAGAGTTAAGGGGCCCATAATCTTCAAAATTTTTGAAAAAATTTTATTCATTATTATTTTTCAATAATTTTAAACTTTTTTGTAAAAAAAAAAAAAATTTGATCAGAGTCTCTCAAACTTAAATTTATTGTATTTATTATATAAATTATTTTTTATTTTATATATTTATTAGATATATAATAACAAAAATTATTTCTATTTAAACATTACAACTCTTTAATTTGTTTACTTATTAATAAATTATTTAAAATTTAAAACAAATAACTTTGGCACAGTTATTTTTTCACTAACATATATATATATATTTAAATTTATAGTATATATGAGTATTATGATTAGGGGAGAGCATTAATCGATTTTAACCAATAAAAATTTGAAATTCAATTAAATGAGGTTTGATTTTTGCCGATTTATAAGTTTTATCGGTTGTGGGATCAATTTGGGCGATATAATCGATCGATTTGTGATTTTACAACTCATGAACCAAACTGATAAAAAAAAAATTTAGCACTTACTCAATGTGAAAATACCCATTTATATTATGAAACCGTAGATTATCTTCTCTCCCACCTCTCAGTCTCTCTCCATTATAAATCCTCACACCTCTTAGCCCTCGCTCGACTCTCAGCCAGGTGTATTTCTTGGTTTTTTTTTTTTTTTGGCCATGAGTTTGCTGTTATCGAGTTTTAGTATAATTTTCTAGTATAGACTTCATTTATTTTCATAAGTGACACTTATACTCTTGTTTTGTTTTTTTTTTTTTTTTTAATTTCACATAAAAAGCTAAAACTTTTGCAAATATCAAAATAATCGATTGACTTATTTCAATTCGGTTTATTTTAGTTTTCACTTGTTTAATTGGTCAGTTTGGGGTTTTTTGTAAATTAAATCGATTAAATCGGTTTTTGAATTTTTATAACTGAATTAATCAAATCAATCATGTATTCACTCCTAATTATAATAACTAAAATTAAATTGACAAATATCTAATTGTGATTTTATTTCAATCAAAAATATTTTTTTCTTATTATATCATGCATGTTTTTTTTTTATTAAAATTGTTAAGTGCTAAAATAACTAACATGATTTTATTTGTATACAAATGTTGATAATGATTATAAATAGAAATCGTAAGGTCAATTGTTGAATATATTTATTTTGTCATTAATATATTTATATATTAACATATTATTATGGGTATTTTTAGGTCTAAAAGGTATTATGGGCTTTTCTCCCATCATTGTAAGTCAACTAATAGCCAGGGTTATTTCAATCATTTTGGTCGAGCTGACGTGTCGAGCCAATTTGATTTTACGAATCTACGACAACTCAACCACTTCATTGTAGGCTCTTGCCAACCCAGCTCGGACCTACCAGGTCACCTCTAGCTTTTAGGGTTAACTAAGTTGCCTAAAACCTCCAATCTCACAAGTATAAATAGTACCATCGTGGTACCTTTCAATCATCTTACTTTTATCACTTTCTTTCTATCTCATTCTTATTCTTTTCCTAAACCGACCACTGACTTAAGCGTCAAAGCACAAATGTTTGAACCATCCCCAACTTTTGTTGTTAACCCCTCTTTTTCTCTCTACTTGTAATTTCAAGATTTTGCCCTTTAGAAATAGCTTGGCACAAACATTTGGTGTGCCAAGTAAAGGACCATTCCATTTAGCCGAGCTAAAAATTTCATCTAGAAAAAGAGTCACTAAGGAAAGAGAAACAGCTACTACTAGGATAAACACCCAGTTCAGCCAACCCAACCCAAATTGACCTACAACAATAGGGCTCCACCATGGAACAATTTCAAACTTTAACCCAACAGTTTCAATCTTTAAAAAAAATGACCCAAAACCTTACTCCACCTCAAATTTCAAAAGTACATGACTTAATCACTTTAAAAAACCCACATATCCTTAAACTGTCATGCTACGACAGCACCTTAGTCTTATCGACATCAGATGATGAGGAAGAAAGGACATCGATGACCATACATACCTTAACACAAGCCACTACTTAAAAATCCAAACAAGCCACTATGAAACCCTAATCGAACAAGGACTTGAAAGCTTAGATAAAGGGCGTAGAGAAAGAAATGAAGAATAAAGCCTTCATCTTTGACAATGAGCTGAGGTTCTCGAAGATCTTTCCCTTTATCGAAGAGATTGATTAAGCAGTGCCATCAAAAGGTTCAAGATATTGACCTTAGAGATGTCTAATGATATGTCTAACCCTTTTGATCATGTAGAGTTTTACCAAACTATCGTGATGATACAAAGAGCTGATAAAGCTTTGATGTGCAAAAGACTGGCTACTACGTGAAAAGGTAGCTCGATCATGGTACTGTAATCTAGAGTTGATCATGACTTTTAAACAACTCAGTCATTCTTTTCTATCCAGATTCATCAGTAGTTGATGAACTGAGAAAACTACATTGAGTTTAATGTTAATCTACCAAGACCAAAATGAATCCTTAAAAGAGTACGTCATACGTTTTAATGTTGAGACTCTTTAAGTTAAAGATTTAGAATAAGCCATAACAGTCATTGCTTTAACTAGTGGATTAAGTGATAGGGAATACCATTCAAGCTCACCATTTCCTTAAAGCCATTGGAAACTTTGGTCGATGTTTTACTCATCGCTGAAAAGTATATCAACATTGAAACTATAAGAAAAGAAGCCAAGGTGAAAGAGGCTTATCTTCCCTCCTCAGCTTGTGAAAATGAAAAGAAATCTACAATTTTCTATGAAGGAAAAAAATAATAGGGTAGCCTTATGCTAGAAGCCTAAGCTAACAACATGATAATTACACTAGATTAGCTCTTGAGAAAAGATTCTAATGTATATTGAAAGATACCCTAATCTTATATGACTGAAGCCGTTAAGGCAAAGCAACAGAAGAAATCTGACCAAAAAATATGTTTTTCACAGAAACTACGACCATAACATCGAAACTATATCAATCTAAAGAATTAAATTGAAATGTTGATCAAAAGAAGTCGGTTGGACAAGTGTATGGATCACAAAAATAAGGATAGGGGAAAAAAGATTTCAAAAAAAGGGACTCAAAGAAAAAGATAAGAAAGAATTAGAAAAATAAATGAAGAGAAAAAAGTCAAAGAGCTGTTAATTAGAAAACCAAG